GCGACGTCTGCGAGGAGGACTTTGACAATGACACCGTGGTGGACCAGCTGGACGTGTGTCCCGAGAGCGCCGAGGTGACGCTCACCGACTTCCGCGCCTACCAGACCGTCATCCTCGACCCCGAGGGGGATGCCCAGATCGACCCCAACTGGGTTGTCCTCAACCAGGTGTGGGTGCTGTGCCCCGTGTTTCTGGGGGCTGCGCTGCAGGGTGGGAGCTGAGGGGGTCGGGAGGTCCCCGGGGGTGCTGGGGCTGCCCCTCACCCTGCTGTCCCTCACAGGGCATGGAGATCGTGCAGACCATGAACAGCGACCCGGGCTTGGCTGTGGGTAAGAGATATTCACCGACTCACAGGCCCTGGGGGCAGCCCCCCTTCTCCTGCCCCTCTGCGTGGGGGGGATGAGGGCCAGTTCTTTGCCCCACAGAGGGGTGAAAGGTGGCTGGGCTGGGGAATCCCAGAGCGTTTCCTGCCCGTAGGCTACACGGCCTTCAACGGGGTGGACTTCGAGGGCACCTTCCACGTCAACACCGTTACCGATGATGACTACGCCGGCTTCATCTTCAGCTACCAGGACAGTGCCAGCTTCTACGTGGTGATGTGGAAGCAGACGGAGCAGACGTACTGGCAGGCCACCCCTTTCCGTGCCGTGGCCGAGCCAGGGCTGCAGCTCAAGGTGGGTGCTGGGCCCCCCACGGGCCAGGTCAGGCTCTCCATCCCTCCTGGCCAGGTCCCCTCTGACACCCCCCGTGCCCCCCAGGCAGTGAAGTCCTCGACGGGCCCCGGGGAGCACCTGCGCAATGCACTGTGGCACACGGGCCACACGCCCGACCACGTCCGCCTGCTCTGGAAGGACCCCCGGAACGTCGGCTGGAGGGACAAGACGTCCTACCGCTGGCAGCTGGCACACAGGCCCCAGGTGGGCTACATCAGGTGAGTGGGGGGCACGGGGGCTGCTGAGGTGGTGGGGGGTGTGCTCACCGTGGGGCAGGGTGGGGTCCGGCCCTAGCGGGACCACACCAGTGGGGGAATGCTGATCACTGGGAGGAAAACAATCCTGGTGTGGTCCAGCCCTGGTGAGGGTAATGATGCCCTGTGCGATCACCCTGGTGACAGGATGCCATGTGGGGAGGGATCCAGCCATGTGGGACCACTGCAGTGGGGGATGCTGGCCATGGGGGGGGAAACCAGCCCTGTGGGACCACCCTAGTGAGGGGATGCTGGTCATGGGGTGGTACCCAGCCCTGTGGGACCACCGTAGAGGGGGGATGCCGGCCATGGGGAAGGGTCCTGGCTGGTGGGGCCGCGGCAGCGTTTCCCCTTTAAGGCTCCCGCCGGGGCGGCCGCGGCGGGGGGGCTCCGCCGCCGGGCCCTCCGCCCCCCGGGCCCCCGGGGCCATTGTCCCGTCGCCATGGCGACCCCGCCGGCGCCTTTCACATGCAAAGTGCCCGACAAAGGCGGCGGGGCCGGGCCGGGGGCGGCGCGGGGGGCTCCAGCCCGGCCACGGCGGGGGGCCCCGGCCCGGGGGTCCAGCCCGCCCGGTGCCCCCGGCCCAGCCCCCCGCGGGATGCCCCGGCCCCAGCCCAGTGCCGCCATCCTGGGTCGGGATGCCCGGTAGGGCCCGATGCTGGTCCTGGCGGGGTCCAGGTGCTGGCCCCGATGGGGTCTCGGTGGGATCCCGATGCTGACCCCAGTGGGGTCCCGCTGACCGGTGGGGCCCCGGTCTCCCCCCAGGGTCCGTTTGTACGAGGGCCCGCGGCTAGTGGCCGACTCCGGGGTGATCATCGACACCACGATGCGCGGGGGGCGGCTGGGGGTCTTCTGCTTCTCCCAGGAGAACATCATCTGGTCCAACCTGCAGTACCGCTGCAACGGTGAGCAGGGCCCCCCGGGACCCCCGCCCCGGCCCGGCGGCCGGCCGAGCATCCCCTTCGCGCCCCTGCGGCGGCGGTCGGGCCGTCGGTCCTGGGCCGGGGGCTTTACGGGCGCTTGCTCTCCCCGCCGGCTCCTGACGCCCCCCGCGCTGCCCCCCGCAGACACGATCCCCGCCGACTTCGAGCCCTTCCGCCGATTCCTGCTGGAGGGACGCGAGTGACCGCGCCCGGCCCGGGCCTCCCCCGCCAGCGGCACCCGGGGGCGCCCCGGGCCCCGCCGCCCCTCCCGGCCGGGCCCCGCTCCCGGCCCCCCGCGGACTTTGCACTGCCGGTACCGGGGCCCCGCGGTGCCGGGGCTTCCTCCGCGCCTGCCCCGGGCGCTCCGGTCCCTGCCCCACGCCTGGCCATAAAGTTTTGAGTGTTTTCTAGCCTGTGCGCCCCGTCCCTGGCGGGGGTTCCCGGTGCCCCGAGAGGGCTCTGGGTGCCCTCCCCGTGCTCTCGGCTCCGTCCCGCGCCGTCCTCCCGGTGGTCGCGGGGGCCGGGTCTGTGCCCGGCCGGTCCCACCGGCGCAGCCCGCGGCGGCGGGAGGCCGGGACGAGTGCAATATTGGTGGGCGAGAGCACAACACTGCACCGCATCCCGGCCCTCCCGCCGCCCCGGAGGGAGCGGGAGCCGCCGCCGCCGCCGCCCGGGGCCGCTCCGTGGGAACTGCGCGGCGCGCACCGCGGCTCGGCGGCACGGACCGGTCGCCACGGCGACGGCTGTCCCGGCAACGCGGCGGAATGTGCCCCCACCGCCCCCCCGCTCGCCCCGGAGCGCGCGGCCCCGGCACCGGCCCGGCCCCGCGGCGGCGGCGGCGACAATGGGCGCGGCGGCACCGGGCCCCTCTTAAAAGGGCAACGCGGCGCTGCCCGCCCGTGTTGGGGCCGCAACTGGTGCCGGTGCCCGTTCGCGGCCCGGGGGTCCCGGGGCAGGTGACATCACTGCTCGGTACCGAGCGCCTCGTCCCACGCCCCCAGCGAGGAGCGACCGCGGGTCCCGCTACCGTTTTGGTCCCTCTCTTTCTCCCTCTCCGGTCCCGCTCCCGGTCCGGTCCCGCTCCCGCTTCCATTCCCTCTGCGGTTCCGCTCCGCTTCTCCTCCCGCCTCTCCCACTCCCTCTTCCACTCCGGTCTCGCTCCAGTCGCCGTCCCGGTCCCGCTCTTGTCTCGCTACAGTCGCAGTCCTGCTCCTGCTCCAGCTCCAGCTCCCAGTCCTGGTCCCAGTCCCGGTCCCGCTCCCGGTCCCGGTCCCGCTCGTGCTCGGGTCTCGCTCCAGTCGCAGTCTTAGTCTTGCTCCCGGTCCCGATCGCGCTCCCGCTCCTGCTCCTTGTCTTGCTCCAGTCGTTTTCCCGCTCCCGCTCCAGTCGCGGTCCCGATCTCGGTCCGGGTCCGGTCCCGGTCCCGCCCGGCGGTGCCGGTGCGCGGGGCGAGCGTCGTGCGGGGCCGCTCCCGCCAGGGGACGCCGCAGCTCCGGCACCGCCGGTCGGAGCGGGAGCGCGCGCGGGGCAGCCGCGGGGGCGCGCGGGTTGGGAACCCCCCGGGCACGGCGGGGACACGGGACCCACCGAGCAGGGAGCGGGTGGGCACACGGGACCCCCGAGGCACAGACAGGGTGGACCCAGGGGACCCACGGGGCACGGTGGGGGTGGGTGCCCAGGACCCACGGGACACAGCCAGGGGTGGCTGCACGGCCCCCTGGTCCGGGGCTCGTGTGTGAGAGGGTTGCCGTGAGAGGTGCTGTGGTCCCTGTGAGACCCACCTGCCCCTCAGCCCCCCACACGGCGTGTCCTCCGTGCGTGGAGAGACACTGTGGGCATCAAGCCCCTGCTTTGGGGGGTGATAGAGGAGCTCTGGGGAGGCCCCCGGTGCTCAGTGGGACCGAGGACTGGTGCTGGCACAGCGGGCAGAGGGCAGTGGGGAGGTCAGTGTCACTGCGTGGGGGCTGCCGTCTCCACGGTGAGGCCTTTGGGGGAGGACAAGTTCACCCGGAGTTGCTGCCTGCACTCTGCCTGTGCCCTGCCTGCATCCTGCCGGTGTCCCCGTGCCTGGCACCAAGGCTCTGGCCCCCTGCTGGGACAGAGAGCTACTGGGTCCCATTGCACCTGCACTGACACCAAGGCCATCCATGCCTTGCCCCGGTGTCACTGCAGCACAGAGGATCCCCCGTCTCTGCTCCCCTTCTCAGCGCTGCCCTGGAACCCTTTGGCGTGGCTGGGGTGGCACTTCGGCTCCACGGGAGGCTGAGCAGGAGTCGGGTGTGGGAGACCCCACCAACGCCTCCCCAGGAATTGGGGCCCTCCCAGGGATCAGGGTTCCCCCCCGGGACTGGGGGTCTCTTCAGGACAGGGGCAGGGAGGGACCACAGTGGCTGGTGATGCCCGGCCGTGCCAGGAGCACGTGTCACCCGGAGGATGCGGGCTCTGTGCCCCGGCACGGGCGGCACCCGTTACCTCTGGGGTGGGGCACCTGGCGTCAGCCGTGTCCTGAGTGGGGTCAGGGGTTTGTACCTGCTGGAGGGGCCCTGGGACCTGCAGGCAGGTTACTGGGAGGTACTGGGATGTCGTGGGGCCCTTGGCTCCACCTGCGTAAGCGTTTCGGGGGGGTCACCAGTGTTTATTTGAGTGTAGGGCGAGGCAGTGGCCGGCCGGTAATGATTAACCCCGGGCTGAGCCAGAGGCTGAGGCCCCCCCTGCACGAGAGGCTGGGGGGCTCCGTGTCCCCCCCGTACCCCCACCAGGTCCCGGGGGCTGTGGCTCAGCCCATAGGGTAGGGCAGATGCTACCCCCACCCCTGCCCAGGATGCCCAGCTACTGTCCCGTCCTGTGCCCGCCCGAGGCTGTGTCCGTTCACAGCACGGGAATGCTGCCAACGGTGTCCCCCCGAGCCGGGGGAGCGTGGGGGGACCCAACCTGGGGTGGTGGTGGTGATGCTGCTGTGGGGGCCGCATCGGCGCGGTGGCACCCCTGTGCCAAGCGGGGCAGAGGAACCCCCCTCCCTGGAGCCGGCGGTGGGGTGGGGCCTCTCCACCTGCTCCAGGTGCTCTATAAAGCTCCGACCGCTGCCGAGCCGCCAGTTCCGGATCCCTGGATCGAGGCGTGCGCCGCCGGCTAACGGGAGAGCAGCCACCGCCCAGCCCCGCCAGGCGCTGGGACCCTCCGGACGAGCCCCATGGCGTTCACTGCCCTTCTGCTGCTGCTGGTGCTGGGCACAGGTGAGGGGCTGGGGCACCCTGAGCCAGGGGGAGCTGGGCTGCCACCCGGGCAAGTGGGGAGGTACCGGGCCAGGGGCAGAGGAGTGGGGTCTCTTTCAGAGTGGGGACCAGGGGACACCAGAGCCGGTGGCACCCCGGCAGCAGGGACCTTGTCACCTGTCCCGGTCTGGCTGGTGCAGCACCGCAGGGCTGGTTGTGCCCAGCAAAGCTGGGACGTGGGGGCTCAAACCACGGCCCCTTCTCTGCCGTGTCCGGGGCTGGGCTGTGCCGGGACCAGCCGGAGCAGGCTGTGCCCGGGGCTTGCAGGCTGGAATGCAGGTGTGTCCCAGTGAGCACCCGGACCCCGGGCTCTCCTCCAGTGCCGCCGGCTCCTGCGGCACCCGCTGAGAACCTGCCCGGGAGCTGCCTGTGCTGGCCCACAGCCAGGCCAGGCGGGTCCGAGGGGCACAGGGGGCACCCCACCCTGGAACCCACAGCAAAGGAGGCTTTATTGGGGTGGTGCCTGAGCCCCAGAGCATGGCAGGGTCACCCCAGGATCTGGGGGTCTGCAGGGCTGGTGCCAGTGCCCAGGTGACACTGCTTGGACCCTTGGAGGTGTCACACGTGCCCAGCACCAACCAGTCATGGGATGTTCCTGAAGGTCTTGTGGGCAGCAGGAGCCACTGGTTCTTGGCTCGTGTGGATCACGATGCTTCCCGCAGTGTCCAGCTCTGTTGGGCAAAACCTTCCCAAATCGTGGCTACAGCTGCCAACTCCTTGTGTTTCCTCCAGCTACATGTGCCGTGCCCATGGAGACGACCGTGGAGATGGAAACGGCCGAAACCACTGCCACGGAGACGACCACAGAGACCACCACCCGCACCTTGACCGCTGCTCCTCCTGTCTTCACCAAAAGCACGGGAGGCAGCAGGTCCCCACCCACTCTCTTCCCCCACGCCACCGTGTTCCCTGGCAAAAACACCACGGACTTCCAGTCCGGCAACCACTCCTTGGGCAATGGCACCACAGTGCCCGTCCCCGGCAGCCCAGCCATCTCCCACCCCAATGCCACCTCAAACAGCAGCAGCTGGGCTCCCCACTTGGGCACCAACAGCAGCTCTGCTGCTCCCACCACTGTGGATGGCGGCAACTCCAGCGCCAACCGGAGCACCAGCGCTCAGGTCCCTCCCACCCGGACAACCTCTGTGACAGCTGAGGGCAGCACGGCTCACAGGCAGACCCCCACTGGGGGCGGTCCCAACCCCAGCAAAGCCACAGCCCGGCTGCCCGCTGCCGTCCAGCTGCTCGCCCGCGTCCCGCTGTCCTTCCGCATCATCAACAGGAGCTTCAACGAGAGCCTGCGTGACCCCACGTCGGAGCAGTACCGGAGCCTGAGCCGCACTGTCCTGAGCATGGTGAGCCCTGGGAGCTCTGCCCCCACCAGCAACCCCCCCAGCTGTGCCAGGGAGGAGCCGCCTCACCTTGGGGCTCACCCTGAGCGTCTGCTCTGCCAGCGGCTCCAGCTGCATGGGAATGGGAAGGGTGGGGTGTCTGTGGGGAGGTGACGGAGGGGTGTCTGTGGGAAGGTGACAGATGAGGTGTCTGTGTGGAGGTCACCGTCACCCCAATGCTTCGTTCCAGTTAGAACACGTGTTTGGCTGCGCGGGCTGCGCGGGCACACAGACCTACATGGGGTGCAGTGAGCTGCGGTACAGGTGAGCAGCAGCAGCGTCCTGGCACACATATCCTGCCTGGTGCCGAGCCCCTCGGGGGGTGATCTGGGCACTGACACCTCCTCCCACACAGCCAGGGCTCGGTGGAGGTGCAGTCCACCCTCGTGTTTGGGAATGGCAGCGACACTGTCACCCCCAACGCTGCCGAGCAGCGCCTGAGGAAGAGCCTGGACCAGAATGGCTTCGTCATGGGCCTGCAGCTGGACAGCATCCAGAGTGAGTGGGGGCTCTGGGACAGAGTGGGAGGGCAGATGGAGCCCGGGGTGGGGTCAGAGGGCTCTGCAAATGCTGCCCTGTCCTGGCTGGGGCTCTTTGGTGCTGAGATGAGCTCGGGGCTCACAGCAGGCAGAGCCAGTGCAGGTTCCCAGTGCCCACAGTGGGCAACACGAGGAAGAGCAAGTGGACTCCGTGGGGGAGGGCTCAGCCCCTGATGCCCCATCCTGGGGGTCTCTCAGGGCTCTGTCAGGCTCTGCCCGTGGTGCAGACTCAGCTCTGCTCCTTTCAGGCTCCACAGAGGTGATGTCCCCAGCACCGGTGCCCGTGGTCCCAGAGTGGGCCATTGCTCTGCTGGTCCTGGTCAGCATCCTGGTGCTGCTGAGCTTCTTCACCTGCCTCCTCCTGATGGTGAGGTCCCATCCCCATCCTCATCCGTGTTCTGCCAGTGAGTCCCCTGTCCCCATGCCCCAGGCCCTGACCCCTTCTCTCTCCCCCAGTCCTCCTGCACTTGCCGCCGGAAAAGCCGAGGGAAGCTGGACCTGCTCAGCCAGAAGGATTCCTACCACCCCATGGCTGAGTACCTCCAGTACCAGAGCCACGGGCGCTACGTGTCCCCCAACAGCAAACCCAACCCCTACAGCCAGGTGAGAGCGAGACCCCCATCCCCGGGGTCCGGCTGCTGTGGGGTGGGGGCAGAGCAGGGGTACATCCCCTGGTTAATGGCTAACGGAGCCGGGATGGGTGTCCAGGGAGCTCGTCCCGCGCCGGGCTCGCCCGGAGGTGAGGGTAACTTTCACGCCTGGCTGGAGCCGCGTGGGGAGCGGGTGCGCGGCCGGCGCGGGCAGACCCTGCCCGGCTCCGGGGAGCTCCCCGCGACCTTGGGTGGCTGCTCCCCCTGCCCAGCCCTGGCAGCATTGCAGGGCTCGCTGCCTGCCCGCGCTGCCCCTTCTCCTGCTCAGCTGCATCCCAACCCGACCCTCGGCTCTCCTGGTGCTGCAGCATCCTCTGCCGCGGGTGGGGAGCGGGGATGGGGGCACTTCAGGGCTGGCGGCGGGGCTGATCCCCCCAGCCTGCACCCCAACACACACCAGCTCCGAAAACGGAGCTGCAGGTGCTGCGTCGGGAGCTGCCCGCAGGCACGAAGAACTCCCCTGGGCAATGTGGGGCACAGAAGCCGCCCCGTTCCCCCCCTCCCCGTGCCCTGCGCTCCCCCCAGGCCGGGACTGCGGGCGGGGGCCGAGCGTCCAGCTGCTCTGCTCCCTGCGAGCAGCTCACCCTGTGCAAATACCAGGGGCCTGGGTAAATATTTACCTTCTCGCTCGCCGGGCCGGCTTATCGTGTGAGAACACGGCCGGGGCCAGCGCGGCTCCTCCCGTGCACGGGGCGGGGGGGGCGGCTCGAGGTGCCCGTGTGGGCCTGGGGTGCCCACGGTGCCCGTGGGTGGGAGGCAGCTGCCCACCGCGCAGTTTTTGGCTGCCCACAGTGGCCGTGGGGAGGGTGTGGGGGGTTCCCCTGCTGCCTCCGGGGGAGGGGGCTCAGCCCAGCCCTGACACCGCCGCACTTTTCCTCCCCCCAAGGTGGCCGGCAGCAGCACCACGAGGGCCGGCACCTTCACCTACACCAACCCTTCCGCCGGCTCCGACAACCTCTGAGGCACACGCTGGGACGGAGGGCGGCTGCCGAGGGGAGGGGGCAGCTGCAGCCCCCCACTCCCGGGGGAGCAGCACCGGCCCCGGGCACATCCCCCGGTGCTGCTCGGCCCCTCGCCGCGGGCAGCGGGCGCTGGATGGTTCTGGAGCAGCCGGATTCGTGCATATGACAGAACTGGATGAACGAAGATTGGGGGCGGGAGGGAGGGTCCCCCGCACCCCACGGTCCCCGCTTGGCTTTGCAACCCCGTTCCGTGCCGGGGGCGTGGCGGGGGCCGGGCTCGTGCTCCCCCTGCACTCACCCCTGGGGATTCAATTGCTCTTTTTGTGGTGTTGTTTTACATAAATATCTCTGTTTGGGGGGTGTTGGTGCCGGGCTCGGCTCGGCGGGGTGGCAGGTCCTGGGTGGGGTGGCAGGTCTCGGCCGGGGTATATTTATCACAGTTACAATAAAAGGATGGGGGCAGCCACGTGTCCCCAGGGCTGTGCTGGGGGGGCTCCCCTTGGGCTGTGACAACGGGGGGTGACTCCAGCTTGGGCAGTCGCTCTCACTTCTCAATCCAGGCAGTCCTGGGGTTGGTGCCGGGGGTGTCACTGTGCCCCCAGTCCCTGTGTCCCTCTGGGTGTGACGTGTCTGCTGGGCTCCACCCCTCTGAGCCCTCCTGCACTCTCGGTTTCTGTTCACGATCCGACGTGTCTCGTTTGACGTTTGACACGTCCCGTTTCCCCACGGCTGCACCGGTGGAATGTGACAGAGCCGACGGGGCCGTGCAGCTGCACGGGCTGCACGTGTGTCACCGGGGGCATGTGGCATGTCCTGCCCCCCTCCCCTGCCTGCTCCAGGCTGGAGGTCCTCCAAACCCTGAGGAAGCCCAAAAAGGCTTTGGGGGCTGCTGGAAGGAGGGGGGCACGGCTGGAAGGTGGGATGTGCCGAGGGGCAGCATGGTGGCCCCAGCAGGGCTGTGTGTTGGGCTGTGCCAGGGAACAAGCCTTGGGAATGCCATGCCTGGAGCACAGTGCTGGCCCTCTGGCAGTCCCAGTTTGGGCTGGGCCCATCCTGGGCACTGGGAGGGTTTTGGCAACCACTGAAAAGGCGGAAAAACAAGGAACCAAACCTTCCCCTAAGAAATTCCATGTGGGTGCAGGCACAGAGCCAGTGCTTGGCCAGGAACACCCCTGGGACCAGCCCAGTGGCTGGTGGACAGCTCTGGGTGGGGGTCACTGCTGTGCCAAGTGCCCAGAGAGCCTGGTATGTGCTGGGAGGTGTCAGAGCTGTGCTGGGCTGTTGGTGAGAGGCTGGGGGGCCTCTGGGGAAAGGAGGGCTGCCCAGTGCCCCAAGGCTCAGCTGTGGGGTGGGGGGTGCACTGATGGGGGCCTGTGGTACAGGGTAGCATCCCCCCCTAATCCATGGGGATGGGGTTGTGTGCCTGGGGCAGAGCCCTGTGGAGAGCAGGGGGGTGCCTGGCATTGCTGCTGCCCCTCCCCAGTCCCCCCCCCTCACCCTCCCCACCCTCCAGCCTTGGGCAGGGCCCCAGGAATCGAAACAGGCACCAGGGTTGGGCCCTACAAAGAGCTGCCTGTTCACAGGGAGCCTGACCCTACGGCCCCCTCACTTTCAAACATAAGGGTGGGGTCCCCAGGGGCAGGCACCCCAACCCACACCAGCTCCAAAAATGGAGCTGCAGGTGCTGCAGCAGGCCTGGGGGGGCCCTGCCCCATGTGGCCCTTCCACCTGCCATGCAGTGTACCCAAGTGGGGGGTCTAGCCCTGTTACCCACCCTGAGAGGATGCCTCAGCCTCCCCAGCTGGACTGTGTGCCTTTGGGATCCCCCAGAAATGCTGCAGGGATTTGGTTTAGGCCCAGCAAGGCGATGACCTGTCCAGGAGCCCCCTGACACCTAAGGATGGGGTGGCAGTGACCACGTGGCCGAGCAGAGCATGGGCAGGACCTGACACGTCAGCACTGCCTGGGCTGGGCAGGATTGGCCCCTGCTGGGCACAGGCTGAAGGACAGCCCAGACCCACAGCACTCCAACACCACAGACAGCCCAGCCCCACGGTCAGCCTGGTCCCACGGCCCCCCAAGCCCACAGACAGACCGACCCCACGGCCTCTGGCTCGCCAGCCCCATGGTCAGCCCAGGAGCCCCACAGCTCCTTGACCCCAGGGGCAGCCCAGCCCCACAGTCCCCTGGCCCCATGGACAGCCCGACCCCATGGACTGCCTGGCCCCACAGCTGCCCTCCACAGCAGGGAGGCTCCCGAGGAGTCTGGCATCGCAGTTTATTGTAGGAAACCATGAAAATACAGCGATTGTTGTAACAGAACCCAGGAGAAACGACAGCAGCTCGGACAGATCCCGGCACGGGAACTGCCAGCACGGCCCCCGCGGCGCGTGGGGCTCCCCTGGGCGGGTCGGATCCGGACCCCGCGGCCCCAGCCCCGGCCGTGTGCGGTTTGGCACCGAGCGGTGTAACGGGAGCCAAGCGTGGCCCTCGGAGCACGTGCAGGCAGGGCACAGGCAGGGCTGGCCAGGCACATGGCTGCCCAAGGACAGGGCAGAGAGGGGGCACCGGGAGCCCACGGGAGGGACCCCTCGGTGGCTGTGGCCGGGGCCGAGCCCGGCCGGATGAGCCGCATTGAAAACGAGCCATTTTACAAAACGTCTTCACACTTTGTTCCAGCCCCGTCTCCCCCCCCGCCCTCTCCCCTACCCCAGCTGCCTCCCCCACCCCAGCCAGCGCCCAGCCTCTCCCCTCCACCGTCACCCCCACTGTCACCTGCCTCCCCCCTCCCTGCGCAGCCCCGTCCCCCTCCCTGACCCGTCTCTGGGGCTGACCCTCTGCCAGCCCTGCCCGCAGCCCCAGCCCAGAGCAGCCCGGGGCCGAGCTGGGGCGAGGGGCAGGCAGACAGGGCGAGGAGGGGACGGCAGAGCTGTCCCCGTCCCCCCCCCCATCCCACAAAACAAACACCTGGCCTGTCCCCAGCAGCGGCAGGGCCGGGACTGCCCACCCTGTGCTCTGCTCCCTGCCCCCCCGGCCCCGGAGCTCCCGGGGGGCACAGCCGGGGGCGCGCGGGGAGCGCGGGCACGGCTCAGTCCAGCTTGGGGAAGCCCCCGATGGTCACTTTCCGCTCCTGCTTGTTGGCCACCAGCTCCTGGAGGTGCAGGGCCCCGCCCCCGATGAAGCAGAAGGCGGGGCAGACGGGCCCCGAGCAGTCCACGCCGCACTCCCAGAGCTCGCGGAAGGACACGGCGTCGTAGAAGCTCACCTTGCCCTGCTCGTAGTCCAGGCAGATGCCGATGCGGGGGGGCAGGGGCACGGTGCAGCCGTTGGGGTCGCGGGAGGTGAGCGCCGAGCCGTGCGACAGCAGGATCTTGCCCATGCCGATGGTGAGGAAGGCGTAGGGTGGCGGCGCCTCCACCGTCGTGTCCTCGGCCCCGCTGTCGTGGCCGCTGTCGGGGTCGTACCTGCAGCAGGAGGACAGGTGAGTCCTGACACCGACACACACGGGACAGGCTGGAGCTCCCCCCCACACCCCAGCGCCTGCTGTGGAGGCAGGAACAGGCAGAGGACCCTCCCCGCTCACTGCCCCGCTCACCTGGGGCTCACCACGTCCTGCGGCACCTGGAACCACTCCTGCAGCTTGCTCTCCAGCCCCACGCCCACCTTCACCAGGTAGGAGCTGGGGTCCACGCAGCAGGCCCAGTAGCTCTTGCCCTGGGTGATGGCCACGTCACCGATGACCAGGTCGATGGAGAGGTGGCAGCTGGTCATCAGGCGCTCGGCGGCGAAGAGCATGGGGATGCCGGGGACGCTGCGCACCGCGCGCTGGTCCTTGCTGATGGCCAGCCGGTCCCGGTTGAAGCCCCAGCGGTTGTCCAGGAAGAAGTTGAGGACTGCGGGGAGGAGAGGAGGAGGAGGGTGAGCGGGATGACACCCCGGGGCGCTCTGCAGGTGCTCCGAACCCCCCGGCCCCGCTCACCCGGGGCGGGCGGCGTGTGCAGGTAGATGTCCTCGCTGTACTCCCCGAAGCCCGCCTTGTTGTAGCCCTTCACCCGCAGCACGTAGACGCTGTCGGTGTCCAGGTACTCGACGAGGGCGCAGGTGCCGCGCACCTCCTCCCGCCGCTGCCACAGCTTCAGCCCCTTGGCCTTGGCGTCGGTCTTGCGGAACTCCACCGTGTAGTGCCAGGCGGGCGGCGAGTGCTGCGGCAGCCGCCAGCACAGGAAGATCTGGTCGTAGGTGTAGGTGCGCTGCGTGTCGATGACGGGGGCCTCGGGCGCTGCGGGGAGAGGCACCGGCGGGCATCAGGCAGCATCCCCCCCCCCGCAGGCGGGGAGGCGGCCGGACGCAGGGACGGGGGCATTCCGGACGGACGGACGGACGCACAACCAGCGGAGTCTAAGGGGGGTCTGACTGCGGAGACCGTGTGTCGGCACCGGAGGAGAGCGAGAGTCGGGGAGACAGAGGAGCTGCTGCTGTGGGGCTCCAGGGACCAGACAGGCCGAGTGCAAGTCGGGAGGGAGGAGAGAGAGAGAGAAAGAGAGAGAGAGAGGATGGAGGCAGCGGGAGAGGAGGAGGAGATGGGGATGGCGGGTGGTAGGGGATGGGGATGGGAATGGAGGGGGAAGAAAATGGGATGAGGAGGGGGGTGGAAACTGGGCAAAGAGAGGGACAGAAATGGGGTGAGAAAGAGTACAGAAATGGGGTGAGAGTTGGATGGAAATAGGGATAGAAGGGGAATAGAAATAGGGGGAGGATGGGGCAGAAATGGGGCAAGGATGGGGTGGAAATGGGGTGCAGACAGAAACAGAAATGGGGTGAGAGGGAGACAAATGGGGCAAGAAGGGGGATGGGAATGGAGCAAGGAGAGGGATGGAAATGGAGAAAGGAAGGGGGCAGGAATGGAGTGAGGAGGAAAGGAAATGGGGTGAGGATGGGGCAGAAATGGGGCAAGGATGGGGTGGAAATGGCACAAGAGGGGAACAGAAATAGGGTGAGGAAGGGGATGGAAATGGGGGAAGAGGAGGATGGGAACAGAAATGGGAAGAGGGGGGATGGAAATGGAGAGAGGAATGGAAACAGGGCAAGGAAGGAGAAAGTAATGGGGTGAGGTGGGGGGGAATAGGGCAAGGATGGGGTGGAAATGGGGCAAGTGATGGTGGAAATGAGGTGAGGAGGGGATGGAAAT